AAAAGAGGAAAAAACTGAACTGTAACTGTACATGAGTAGTAAATGAAACCGTGTTATTCCGTGTTCAGTGCCACACCTCTAGTGTCTTTCTGTCATTCGTCATGTCCAGGTGGGGAGGGTGAGGGACTCATAGTTTTGGACAGTGACTCAGAGTTACTCGCATGAGGACAGCAGTGGTTAGAAAGGGACAAATAACATGAGTGTTTCCTTTTCAGTGCTGCTGTTTTGGAACATAAACCCAGAATAACACGACTAACCATAATATAACTTTTCATGCATCAAAAATAATGATCCTTAAAATCTTAAAGCCATGCTAAAATGTATATAGTGTACTTTAAAGTGCAATTTGTTCAAAGCAATTTCAAATAGTAGGGCTGTGCAATTAGTCGCATGCGATTGTCATGCGCATCTCGTCAGTAAAGCCGGTTCTGTGATTAGTAGTAAATCGCCATCAGCTGCTTTCAGATGGAGCGGTATACACAGAGCCGTAGTTCTCTGACAATTAGGCAATATCGCGTTCATAATCGCAGGCGATTCGATAATCATGAGTTATTACAGGTCTATACATATTTTTACTCGGTGATGCTGTCTGAGGTGTGATTGAAATATGACATGATTTATTTGAGGATTGTATATACATCTGTCAGAGGATGGCAGTACATATGTGCATTGCATAACGTAGGCGGCTTACACTGCCACGCTCCGCTTACGTAAAGGCATTAAAGACTTGGACAATAGCTGAAATACATGAGAATGCACAAAATCATTTATCTGTGAATTTCTGACATTTCTACAAGGTTTCAAACATAATGTAATAATATGAGCCCAGCTGAATCAGTAGACTGAAAATAGCGAATCGCTTTTATTACGTCAGGTTTCATAATGCATTCGAGTTCTTAATCCACTTGAGCTGACTTTAGGGATTTTCTGAACTTTACGCTGTAAAATTCATTAGATGAGCATTCTTAGAAATATCTAAGTATGTTCTGACAAGCCTGGCAAAAGTTTCTAGATATTAAGAATCGTATTATTTCATGGTGTTATTAATACTGGTGCGTTTTGGTATCTTCTGCAAAATAATGTTCAGGATCAGACTGGTTTGAATATGTTATTTGAGGCGTCTGCCTTTCATATTACAGGAAAAACCTCTGATACTGGTGCTATTTAATGTTCCTCAGGCGTATTACAGAATGTGTTCAAGTTTGGACTGCGTCTGCGTGCCTGAGCAGATTTTACATTGTGTCAAAGTGGAGCACAAAGGTCATTTGTTCATGAAGGTCAACAGTTTGGAAGTACACAATACAGTATCAGCAGGTTATGACTACTGGTGCATTTCTCCGTTATCATTAGTGGTGCTTGCTAAAGACTATTGTTCATATTGTGTTTTAAACAAACACTAAATCCTTAGTATTAAACTTTGGTGTGAGCATTGTGCTGTATGAATGACATATTAAAGGGATAGTTCTACCAAAAATGAAAGTTTGGTTATCATTTATTCACCCTCGTGTTGTTCCAAAAACATGCATGACTTACTTACTTCTGTGGAGCATTAAAATAAACATTATTTATATTTTGAAGAATATTATTTAGTCAAGTCTTCAAAATATATAAATATATATATATTTTTTTTTTAGAATGTTGGTAACCAAATAATTTTGGTGACTGTTGACTTCCATTGTATGGAAGAAAAAGAGGAAAAAACTGAACTGTAACTGTACATGAGTAGTAAATGAAACCGTGTTATTCCGTGTTCAGTGCCACACCTCTAGTGTCTTTCTGTCATTCGTCATGTCCAGGTGGGGAGGGTGAGGGACTCATAGTTTTGGACAGTGACTCAGAGTTACTCGCATGAGGACAGCAGTGGTTAGAAAGGGACAAATAACATGAGTGTTTCCTTTTCAGTGCTGCTGTTTTGGAACATAAACCCAGAATAACACGACTAACCATAATATAACTTTTCATGCATCAAAAATAATGATCCTTAAAATCTTAAAGCCATGCTAAAATGTATATAGTGTACTTTAAAGTGCAATTTGTTCAAAGCAATTTCAAATAGTAGGGCTGTGCAATTAGTCGCATGCGATTGTCATGCGCATCTCGTCAGTAAAGCCGGTTCTGTGATTAGTAGTAAATCGCCATCAGCTGCTTTCAGATGGAGCGGTATACACAGAGCCGTAGTTCTCTGACAATTAGGCAATATCGCGTTCATAATCGCAGGCGATTCGATAATCATGAGTTATTACAGGTCTATACATATTTTTACTCGGTGATGCTGTCTGAGGTGTGATTGAAATATGACATGATTTATTTGAGGATTGTATATACATCTGTCAGAGGATGGCAGTACATATGTGCATTGCATAACGTAGGCGGCTTACACTGCCACGCTCCGCTTACGTAAAGGCATTAAAGACTTGGACAATAGCTGAAATACATGAGAATGCACAAAATCATTTATCTGTGAATTTCTGACATTTCTACAAGGTTTCAAACATAATGTAATAATATGAGCCCAGCTGAATCAGTAGACTGAAAATAGCGAATCGCTTTTATTACGTCAGATTTCATAATGCATTCGAGTTCTTAATCCACTTGAGCTGACTTTAGGGATTTTCTGAACTTTACGCTGTAAAATTCATTAGATGAGCATTCTTAGAAATATCTAAGTATGTTCTGACAAGCCTGGCAAAAGTTTCTAGATATTAAGAATCGTATTATTTCATGGTGTTATTAATACTGGTGCGTTTTGGTATCTTCTGCAAAATAATGTTCAGGATCAGACTGGTTTGAATATGTTATTTGAGGCGTCTGCCTTTCATATTACAGGAAAAACCTCTGATACTGGTGCTATTTAATGTTCCTCAGGCGTATTACAGAATGTGTTCAAGTTTGGACTGCGTCTGCGTGCCTGAGCAGATTTTACATTGTGTCAGAGTGGAGCACAAAGGTCATTTGTTCATGAAGGTCAACAGTTTGGAAGTACACAATACAGTATCAGCAGGTTATGACTACTGGTGCATTTCTCCGTTATCATTAGTGGTGCTTGCTAAAGACTATTGTTCATATTGTGTTTTAAACAAACACTAAATCCTTAGTATTAAACTTTGGTGTGAGCATTGTGCTGTATGAATGACATATTAAAGGGATAGTTCTACCAAAAATGAAAGTTTGGTTATCATTTATTCACCCTCGTGTTGTTCCAAAAACATGCATGACTTACTTACTTCTGTGGAGCATTAAAATAAATATTATTTATATTTTGAAGAATATTATTTAGTCAAGTCTTCAAAATATATAAATATATATATATTTTTTTTTTAGAATGTTGGTAACCAAATAATTTTGGTGACTGTTGACTTCCATTGTATGGAAGAAAAGACATTTTTAAAATGTCTTCTTCCATGTCCCAGAAAGGTTTGGGACAACAGGAGCACGAGTAAACAAGAAGAATATTCATTTTTGAGTGAACTGTCCCTTTAAATTGCGTAGGTTGTTGATGAAAAGTACACTGTTACTTTTCGAAGTGGTCTGACATATTACTCAAAAAAACAAGTAGGCTACTGTTGTTAAATGCACCTTTTATTGTGTCTCTTAAACTGCTGTAGTGTGAAGTGGTTACACCAACAGTGATATTATGTAAGTGCTATTATTATGTCTAATGTAAGTGTAATGAGAGCCGTGTGTGTGCAGATGTATACGGGCTTGTCTGTATGAGTGAGGTCACAACACTGCTGACATCTGCAACAGGCTTCAGCACGTATTGCTGACTGAACCATTTATAGTGTGTGGTTCAGCCGCCATTTGTGCTGATATTGGAAGGTGCTTTGATTCGTGTTTGTTTACTCTAGTAGATTGCTATTACTTTTTTTTTAGTTTACAAAAAAAATAAAAAATCCTTAAGATAGCATTTACAAAATGAGGCAACTTGGTTTATGATCGCATTTAAGAAAATACAGAAATCTTATTGTGGTAATTGTAGTTTACAGTCAATATTGGTTTATCAATGCCACTATTTAGAGTGCAGCGTGGCCGGTGTGTGTGTATATATAACAAAAAAATCATTTTAATGAAACGAATACTACCTTTGTGTGGCTTTTACCACAAATTCACAAAAATATTAAAATCTGAAAATCCATGACAAGGATGTCTTTAGATTTTGAAGCCAACACCTCAGTTAAATGGCTAACTGGACTACTCTATCCATATATATCCAATAATCATTATAATTGCATTACAAATGTTCAGTTTGCATTTAGACTTTTAGAATTAGGGCTATATATTCCATATATATATATATATATATATATATTCCAGTTATATTTGCTTCTAGTATTAAGTAGCATTCTGAATATTGTAATGTGCTTTAATGTGTTTCACATTTTATGTTTTTTTTAAAAGAAAGGTTTATGTATTAGAAATTGTATTAAATAATTATTAAACATCTAGAATCTAGTTTTCAGTGGCTTTTTGGTTTAAATGTTTTTTCTAAATTAAAAAAGCACTCTTTTATGTCGTCAAACAACTGAAATTTATTTTGAATACATAAGATATTTCAGCTATATTGCCATTGCTATAAATAGCTATATTTCTAGATTAAATGTTATCCGCTTAAGTTTGAGCAAATTTTTGTTTCCACATTTTTGTTGGCCTATTATGGCTGCTCAGGTCTTTTGCTGCTCGTCTGCCAGCACACAGCACCACACTCTGTGGTCTCGGAATAATCCTGTTTCTGCTCTGAGGTCTTACTGATGAATCAGAGTAGTTTTTACAGTTGAGCGGACCTTACCAGAGCTGCTCTGTCAAAACGTGACCTGTCAAAAAATGCCTTAAACCATACGTTTGTAACCAAACCTTAAAATAGACGGTTTTATTTGCGGGGCTTTAGGTGATTTGGATTAGTGTGGAGGGGATTTTAGAGCCCCTGCACTTTGGCAGCACAATCTCCGCCTGCCCATAATCCAGTGCGCAAACCACTGGATGATAATTTCATGACACTGAGTGGAGGAAAAAGCCTGGATGCCCGGATACTCCATCCCTGCACCAAAGTAACATGCTGGAAATCATCTCTAGGGTGGTTTGTTTGCGAACAGACAAATCGTGTGCATATGTGTGCATGTATGCGTGATGGTGGGGCGCAGGCTAAGCCAGCGGTGGCGGAGGGATTACAGAGAATTGGGCCAGGGTGCATCCATGATCTGTCGCGGCTTAGTACCACAATTACCCCCCCTCACAGCGTTTTCATTAGACTAATGTTTGAGATCTCCAGAATTATGTAAGAGTGACGCTCTGCCCAACGTGGTCGTTGTTTTCTCTCTCTCTCTCTCTTTTCCCTCTCTTGTCCTACGAGGAGAACGAAACGGGCATCTATGAGACTCCACAGAGCAGGACAGATTCACTACTGCAGATGATGGGTTTAATAGAAAAATGACCATTTCCTGCTGTACATGAGATTATACTTAGCTTTGTCGTGATGTTATAGTTGGTAAACGGAGAGGTTAAGTGGCGCTGAGAGCCTCTGTAGATCTAAGGAACGGAGAGGAACCAGAGAACTTTTGAAATGAAGTACAAGAAATTCATCACCATCATGCAAGTGGCCGCCGGGATCGCGCCTCTCAACAAGCGCGAGCTGCTGCCACCCGGCCGGAGGTTGTGGAGACCCTCGGGGTGAGTTATGTAGGAGATACTAGAAAGAAAACCCAGGAAATTAATGTTTGATATTGTTCGAGACCGGCGTAGCTGGTACATTGGTGTGTTAACAACACTAATGATCGGATGTGTTTGAGTATATATTGTCGCTCATTCTACTATAGTATAATTGCTGTACTATAATTGTTACTCTATGTGTGACCCTGGAAAGTATTTGAGTTTTTCAATGAGCAAATCAGTTTTGCTTAACACTGAATTCTGGGTGGTGCTTTGTAAACCCCATGCTAAGTATTAATCTTTCAGACATGAGTGATACCTCAGATCGTGTAACTTCTTGTGACTGAACTTTGACATTTCATCCAGCAGATGATAAAATTACTAAAAATTCCATATACAGTACAAACATTGAAAGAGACACTCAGTATTGTCATCTACTTTACGTCATGCAATACACATTGTGATTCATAGTTCAATAGCATATCATAATAAGATTGCGATTGGAAATGTATACCAAACATAGGAAAGAAATGCTAAAAACTCAAATCAGTAGTTTTAAATGCTACAAGTGAATTTGGGCATTACAATTTTTAGTTATGACGTGCAGTATGTTGCATATTACATTGAACTGTTCTGAAATTATTAGCATTTTTAAAGGTTCACTTTAAGGGTATTTTCACATATTGCACACTTGAAATGAAAAACAGTTCAGTTAAAGTGAATCAGAAAAGGAACCAGCTGTAATTGACCGTAGTGCTTTTGATGTTCACAATGTAAGTGGACTTAAAAGGGAACTCACTAAATGTTTGTTTGGGGTCCTTTCTCTCCAATTTCAGCACATAAGCAATATGGTACTGGCATATTGCACATCCCTACTTATTCACGCAAAGATTTAAAGTGTGAATATAGTATTGAGAAATTGAGCCTGTGTGTCTTTAGCCATACTAGTCACCAGAATACTATAGGCTGTGTCTGAATATGTCAATTTCCCTACTATACAGTAGGCTAAAAGCAGTACATGAACTGAGCATTATGTCCGAATTTGTCGAATACATAATGAAGAATGATCCAGATGACCTACTACTTCACGCAAGATTCTGAAGTGTGCATCTGATGGACACTTCACTATCCCATGAGGCCAATGGAGAGGATTTAGAAACGACAGAAAAGCGACACAACTGATGCTGTAGACCTATAAGTCACATGATAACAACAACATGGGGGATGTAGTACAACAGGATTACATTCATACTACAGAACATATTTTTTAACAGTTGTGAAGTAAGTACCTACTCGGAGTATTTCAGACGCAGCCATAGAGGATGGTTCTTTTGACCTGGGCTCTAAAAGCTGCGTGCCTTTCAAAATGGACACTTTTGTACTTTATTTACCCCTAAACGGGAATATATTAGTTCAGTAAAAGCACCAAAAGTGTACAAATTGGTACCTAAATAGTGCAGTGCATATTAGTACCTTCTGAAAGAGTACTGCCTCAGTGACAGTTTCTGTTTTTTTTTTTTCTCTCTCCGAGAGTGTATTTGTGTGGCCCTCTGACATATCTAGGCTCAAGACTATCAGTGAAAAGTTAGGCCGACTCAGCCATCAGTGGTGTGTTTTTCAGGGATGATCATCAGGAAATGTCACTCAGAAATCTAGCTTTCTTTTGAACATTTTAGAGTCTTAATTAGCTGCTCCAGTTTCTTGAACCTGAGGACTCGTATTACTGAAACAATAGTTCATTCCTTCGGGCTACTTTGCTGGCAAAGACCTCATGAACATATCTGAGCTGTTATGCTAAACAGCGCAGTTAATAATTACAATTTTCTTGCCAAGGAGATCAAGTGTACTCTACTCAGAGCAGGTGCTTACACTTGTTTGTGAATTATACTCAAATCACTTTTGTTAAGCTAAGTTCTGTATTTTCTTGTCAGACTAAGCTACAACAAAACATACTGCATGATCAGGTGTAATTGCAGGGTTAGACCATTTATTAGTGAAAAGTTAGGCCGACTCAGACATCAGTGGTGTGTTTTTCAGGGATGATCATCAGGAAATGTCACTCAGAAATCTAGCTTTCTTTTGAACATTTTAGAGTCTTAATTAGCTGCTCCAGTTTCTTGAACCTGAGGACTCGTATTACTAAAACAATAGTTCATTCCTTCGGGCTACTTTGCTGGCAAAGACCTCATGAACATATCTGAGCTGTTATGCTAAACAGCGCAGTTAATAATTACAATTTTCTTGCCAAGGAGATCAAGTGTACTCTACTCAGAGCAGGTGCTTACACTTGTTTGTGAATTATACTCAAATCACTTTTGTTAAGCTAAGTTCTGTATTTTCTTGTCAGACTAAGCTACAACAAAACATACTGCATGATCAGGTGTAATTGCAGGGTTAGACCATTTATTTACATGCACACACACTAACATTTAGTAAACATGTTTGAGCTATTAACAGATCAACTGAGTACTGTGTATACTGTCATACTGACTTGTGGTTATGTGATTAAGACTTGGGCTGTGTGAGAAATAATGGATCGTGCTCAGTTTTACTCTGAAAATATCTCTAGATGTCGCTGATTTTACAGTGATTAACATTTTTTGTTGTTGTTGAATCTATGATCAGTGTTATTAACTAAACATGTCTTTTTACAGTGACCAGTCCAACCAAATAGAGTTATTCCGGTCACGCCGCTCCAAAAGGTTTTCCTTGACCCACGAAGCTCAGTATTTGTGTCTGCGACGCCTCTCTGCTCCCAGCTACCCGGCCCTTTTACAGGTACTACACACAAAATTTCTCATGAAAACATATAGTGATTATTATTATTATTCATCTTGCCCGTATTGAAAATATGATGAGATTTCAAGTTTTTCTTTCTCTTTGGAGTGTTACAAGCTCTTGGTACATAAAGAAGATCTGTAAAGTTGCAAAGACTAAAGTCTCAAATCTAAATTTAAGTTAAGAGTAGGGCTGGACGATATGGCCAAAATTGATATCACGATATATTTCTTAATTTCGGTCGATACGATATAATTCCGATATCGATATGAACACTATTTATCTGAAATAGAAATCTTTTGTAACATTATAAATGCCTTTATCATCACTTTTGATCAATTTTAAGCATCCTTGCTAAATAAAAGTATTAATTTCTATAATTTCTTTCCCCCAAAAATAATAAAAAATTATACTGAATGGAATAGTGTATAATGTTACAAAAGCTGTGTTTTTTTTTAACATTAAAGCATGTCAACATATTCTGTTACACCAAATACACCAAATAATGATCTTTAAAATAGCATCATATGACCCCTTTAATTATTTTTCCAAAATATAACATTTGTTTGCCGTTCACACTAGACATATTTTTTTTGCTTTCAAATATAAAGCTTTTCTTTTCAATTTCTCTACTTACCTCAAGAATTATGAAGAGGAACTGACATCAATATATTTTTAAGAGGAAGTTTAAAAGTGAGAAGTTCTTCTATGATTGGACATAAATTTGTTATGCTTGACAAGATTTCTCAGGCATATCCACCATCACATAAGATAGACAAAAACAGTGTTTAATTTTTTCTAGTATTTGTAAAAAAAAAAAAAAAAATTCATAAAAATTATATTGACTATTGAAGGCCAATGATGGGATACATTTTTTACTAATATGAAATGTAAACATTTTGTTTTCTTTTACATGCACCAATGTCTCTCTTTCTCTCTGTGTGTGTGCGTGTGTGTGTGTGTGTGTGTGTGAGAGAGAATCACCACAGTCATTTGACATTAATATATTTCAGATTACACCATTATTATTGAATGCCAATGATGGGATACATTTTTTACTAATATGAAATGTAAACATTTTGTTTTCTTTTACATGCACAAATGTCTCTCTTTCTCTCTGTGTGTGTGTGTGTGTGTGTGAGAGAGAATCACCACAGTCATTTGACATTAATATATTTCAGATTACACCATTATATGTATGGTAGTACTATGGTACTTTTTTGGCCAGTGTGGTCACTCTTTTTAATGTGAAGTTATGTTACATATTAATCGTCAGTCCAAGCCTGATTTTAGGTAAAAGCTGCATTTTACACTAAACTGAATGAATTTAAACTGTTGTTGGAGCATCTATATTTGCTTGTTTGCTGTTAATGCCCTTGTTTGGGAGCCTTTTAGGGTCGTTGTGAAATATAAACCTCCGGCGTGCTTATATTAATTATACTTAAGCATTTAAAACAAGCGCTTGGAGCGACAGCTTGATAAAATGCTCGAGGAACGCATGCTTGACGCAACAGCCACATTATCTCTCTGAATAAGCCATGAAGCCCCTCTTTTCATTTGCAGGGGTCTTCTGTGTGTCCAGCGCCCATTTCAGAAACTTGGAGAACCAGAGAAACAACTTTCAGCACGCTAATAAATGAGACTTTTACATGTTTCACTAGAAGCGTATATGTTGGGGCTTGGATTGACTGATTTCAGTCTTTTTGAGGGACACAGACAGCTGAAGCTACTTCTCTATAATGCAGAGGGAATTCTGTCTGCTGCTGCTGCACACATTGTGCTTGTTCTGTCTAACAGCAGACTGCATACAGTTCAGTATGTTTGCTGGTGGCTCAGCAATGGCATACCTTGCTTGATTGAACTGCAAATGCTTTAACATTTAAGCTACAGTGTCTATAAAAATGAAAAGTATGCACCCTATTGTAGTATTTAGATTGTGCATGTAAATTGAAGATTTTTGCTTCTGGTGTTGTTTTTATTCTTGCTGCACAGAAATGTCCTGCTGCTGTCAAAGCCATGCTTATCTGTATGAGGTGTTTAGTATCACAGCTCAAATAACACTTTTTGTTGTCGTAAGACCAGGCAGGCAGTGTTTCTCTAAATTGTTGACTTGCGCTGTAGACATCTTGTCGCCTTTCTGCAAAAGTCCTATTTTTTTAAAGGGGTCATATGATGCTATTTTAAAGATTATTATTTGGTGTAACAGAATATGTTGACATGCTTTAATGTTCAAAAAACACATTATTTTTCAAATACTGTACATTATTGTAGGTCCTCTATGCCCCGCCTCTCTCAAACACGTCGTTTTCTACAAAGCCCCCTCCTTTGACAAGCACAGTCTGCTCTGATTGGCCAGCTGACCCAGTGCATTGTGATTGGCCGAACACCACAAGCACGCGTCTGAAATGTAACGCCCCTTACTCTGCGCTGTGCAAAACTCCACATTTGAACAGTCAATAGCTAATACTTAAACTAATAACAAAACATACTTAGTCACTGATTCAGAAGCGCCAGATTGTCATAGCAAAGTCAGAACTTTTTTTAGAAATAGCCTTTGTGCACAGCCAGCCTTGTACTCTTCTAGGTTAAAAAAAACTGTCGTCCATAAAATGCATGGCACAAATTCGAACATCTGGGTTGTGCTGTGACAGTAAAGAGATTAGTAATTCAATTATTTTTTTTAAATACATGGATTTCCACAAAAATATAAAGCAGCACAACTGTTTCCAATATTGACAATAATAATAATAGATGTTTCTTGAGCAGCGGATCATCAGGATCATGAAGGATCATGTGGCACTGAAGACTGGAGTAATGATGCTGGAAATTCAGCTTTGATCACATGAATAAAATACATTTTAATATATATTATTGTATTTTTAATCAAATAAATGCAGCCTCAGTGAGCGTAAGAGACTTTTAAAAACCCCACTGACCCCAAACGTTTGAAGGGTAGTGTACAGCGCCAGTCAAACCTGAATTATTCTGGATTGTTTCTTAATTGTCTGGATACTTGTTGGTTGTTTTTCCTTAACTATTCAGTTCAATTCATTCATTTCATAAATTCTACATTTTAATTGCAGAAATCCATACATACATAATGTAATGCATCTACAAAAGTATTTTCAAGCATTTAAGTAGAAGCCATTAAGATCAATAGTAAAATTGTCAGTTTTCTCCAAATGTTTTGGTTGGTACTGTTTCAGGGCAGTTGATAGTGAGTATGAAAACTGAATGAATGCCCCTCAGAAGAGCACAGGAAACCAAACTCAACTGTGGTGTTGGACTGAGAGCTCAGAGACCTGCTGTTGTACAGTGCTATGGTACAAGCTCAGTTACAGTGAGAAATTAATTCTTTGACATTGTTCATCAATGATCTGTTCTGGTTATCACAGTAAAGAGAATTGAGGGCAGCTCATATGCCACATGTTAATCCTGTCGTGGATAAGATTTAAGGCTGAGTTTGAAAGCCGTTATAGATCAAAGAACTTTATGATGTTTAGTACTGCACAATTTACTAAAATAGCACTATTATAGTAAGGCATTTAATTCTATGTGGCTTTCGCAAATGAGAAAATAACGGAGCTTAGGTGCTTCAAACCCCATAATCCTTCTAAATTGTAATTAAAATGCAATGAAATCAGTGCTAATCTACCAGTCCCTCTTACACGTTCAAAAGCTCATCTTTCAGAAAGAAATCCCAATCCAAAAGCATCTGCGTTTTCGAAGGTGGCACTTGCCTTCTGTAAGCCGCGAAGAGCTTTTAATGTCAACCCAGACAGAGCCGTATCGTTTGATGAATTGAAACTAAATTTTAATTTAATAGTTCATAGCTCGGTTTTTTTGCGTCGTGGCTGCCGTGGGTCGCTGTGGACGGTGGGATTTGCGCAGAATGTAGGCCAGCGGCATCAGTCTTACGTCAAAGGCAGACAGATGCATTGTGCCGAGGGGTGATGCGCTTTGGCCCAGGGACTCTGTGTTCACGGGAGAGGTGACAACATGAAGACGGTCCTCTCGCTGCACAGGAAATGGGTGCACACCATCAAGGCCATTCGTATCCTCCAGGGCATCGTAAGCATGCTTTCTGCTCTTTCCCTGTACAACTACACCGGTTAATGTCTTACACAGATTGGGTGAAGTGTAACTTTTTGGTTGAGTTTATTTGTGACCATACGTTTTTGCCGAATGGCTTTTCATCTGCTTTGAACGTATACTGTAGGGTTGGCGTTTAGGCTTATGGCATATTGTTTGGTAGGAGTGTATTTGTAGGAAACTCTTTAGGGATTCTTTAGTAAACAGTGCAATGCATCATGGCAGTGTAATATATTTTATTTATTTTGGTAAAATTCGTAATTATTGGTAACAAATATGTTAAAACAAATGTATACGAATTATTACGTTTCTTAATTGATTCGTTTGATTTTTATTGTCATTATGATGCATTGCGATACACACTTTTGTCGCATTACATACACTGATGCATTTTGATGCAGAAATTCATTTGAGATTGCAAAGTTTTAGGAATAGGTTGAAAGGTTTTCGCCAAGTTTATGACACTGTGATGAAGAAAATAGGTGGAGATATAGTTTGATTTCTGGGTAGATGTTATTTCTTTGTTTTTTAGACGGGCATTAGAATCAGTGATGAGAGTGATTAAACACTTAAGCACCTGTGTTGCTTTACAGAAATGCTTTTAAAGTGTAACAATTAGTGTGCTATTGCTTTTCATATTTTTAGTTTACAGTGGCAACAAGTGGAACATGTTTCCAAACTTTTTCCCATGGCTGATTTTATCCCCAACACTTTTTGACGTAGTTCACACACAGCAAATACTTCTCAAATAATTTTACATTTTTGAGCAGAATTTTTTATTGTATTAATGTGTGCTAAAATAAGTGGTGATCCAGTGCTGGAATTTGTTATATTTGTTTTGTTGTTGTGGTTGTCCATTCTCAGTTTTCTACAGATGCAATTTTGGTTTATTCATAAAAAGTAGTGTTGTCAAACGATTAATCATGATTAATCGCATCCAAAATAAAAGTTTTTGTTTACAGAATATATGTGTGTGATTAATCGTTTGACAGCACTAATAAAAAGTATATAAAAATAAAAACATAAACTAAAATATTATTTTAATATGCAAGTATTGCAGTATAGAACCCAATATTCCATGCTTTCCAACTACAAACATTACCACTACACCAAGGTCATGTTTGACATTCAATCCACTGACCTAAAATGCTTAAAATGTTTAGTGAGAATCCGATCAGTTAGAACATTGTGCACTCACTGAATTACTTTTTTGTCAGTAAACTGTTGAAGTTGTTGCTTAAATTAACTTTGAAAATGGTAAAAGATCATAATCATAGATTATTTGCGTATAACCTCAAAAGCTAAGTCTGTTAATTTGTGACGTTCACCACTTTTTAAAACGGCGACACCCATGGATGTTACATGCATGTATTATGATGACGTGAGGAATGCATGATTGCCTTAGACGTGTTATAGTGTTTAGTTTGTTTAACTATGATGTTTCAGATTATAGCATGAAGGAAAACCAACAAATTGAAATCATTTATACATGAAATGCTAAAAGGCATCGGTTGTGGATCTGGGTTGAGAATTATATAGGGCAGTTCTGGGATTCATATTTGCCTGAGGAGATTAAAGAGCAACAATCATAATCGCCCAGCGTGCGCACGGGTGGATGGAGAGGTAACTGGAGGCGTTCTGCGGCGCAGGACGTCACGTGGCTCTCAGATTGATGCTGAAGACTGTGTTTATAGTGTTTAACTCACTGACCAGGCTTCCTTTTAAAATAATTGCTTTCAAATAATGCAGGCTTTTTATTTTAAAGGGGTCATGCCATACATTTAATTATTTTATTTTTTTCCTAGCAGTCCACATATGATGGCAGTTTTGTAATAAAATTGTTCTTTCTTGCAGATCTCTAATTATTTCTGGTTGAATATATAGACATACTTCAGATCTGCAGTTCTGTCTGTCATTGAGTAATCAGATGAGCTCATGTAAATGGGTTGGAAGAGAAACACTCGTCTACTTTTTCACTGTGGCAGCACCACGCTGCAGATTTTGCTCAGGAGATCACTGATATCTGCTGTAACTTGACTCTGTCCATCACTGTCCTACGTGTAAGCCTGTTCATACTGTTTCAGAACCCAGTCATGGAGGAGACGGTGTGGGAGCAGTACACTGTGACCCTACAGCGGGTGAGTACTTCACCCTGTGCTTATTTGGAGAGCCAAAGTTCCTGCTTATTGGTTTCTCTCTAAAGTCTTTACATTCTTTTTATAGGTTTTTTTGTGTGTGTGTGGTAATTTCTGCACCTCTAGCACTACTAGATTTACCGTTCAATGGTTTGGGGTCAGCAAGATATGTATATATATTTTTAAATAATTTAATACTTTCATTTAGCGAGGATACGTTCAATTTATCAAAAGTGACCGTAAAGACTTTTGCATTGTTGGTGAACATAAGAGACTTCATATATCTTCCACCACTGCTTTCTCTCAGCAGAAAGCATATCATCATTGCTTTATCCTCTTGGTGAACTTTATCACACATATACTTTTAATGTTTGTCTTGAAGATATAACCGTTATATCCAAAATATCAGGAAACCTAATTCCAGGGTTACTTGTTAATTAGTCATTGCTGCCTGTACATCTTCACGAATTTAAAGTGATTTATTGTTGTAAATTAATAACTATGTATTCATGCATAAGATAAAATGCATTCTTTGGTGTATAAATAGGACTCCAAGATGGGCTTTGGCATGGCTGTGTCTGGAGGGCGGGACAACCCGAACGAAGAAAGTGGAGAAGCGTCAATTGTCGTATCTGATGTGCTGCAAGGGGGTCCTGCAGATGGCTTGCTATTGTAAGCTCTGAAACAACATTAAACGCATCCCAGCCTTTTTTATACGATTTGTAATCCTAAAGTTCAAGTTCAAGTTGAGCTTTATTGTCATTCTGCTACATGTGGGGATATGCAGTGGAACGAAATGTCGCCACTGACTGATTTTGACTATGAATATACTATATATAAATGTTTACCTATCCTAAAGTGCTATTTAAAGTAGAAAAGCTAGTGTAGGGTTGTCACGAAAAACAATGAAATTTCACGATTCTCAATACCAGTTTCCACACCAAAAAAATTTATATGCTAATGAATGCACTAATTTTATTTGAATGTATAAATACTACTAAATAAAATAATAATAGATAAAGAATTAAAAAAAAGATTAAATATAAATATTTTTATAAATTAATGTATATACATTATATTGCTATTGTATGACACTAAAAGCTAAAAATTTAAAATTGACCCAAAAAAAGTGAATATAAGTATTAATAATAACAAATTAAAACAATAGCATGTATCTCTCAAATATTTCACACAGTAAACAGTCAGTAATAAAGATTCAAGAAAGTAGTTATAAGCAATTGACAAACTTAATTTTTTTATTTTTGATATTCAGGTTTATTTGTTATTATTTTTATTTTATTTTATTTCATTGCATTTTATTTGTTGCCTGCCAACACTATTATTCAAGATTTTATTTGTTTTATTTATGCTGGTACTTTTGACATTCCTAAACTGTTGGAAGAATTTGAAGTCACTTTCTGACGTGTAGAGACTTTTCCTAACAGTGTTTCATGCTCTTGTTCAGTGAAAATGACAGAGTGATCCAGGTCAACAATGTGCCCATGGATGGTGTCCAACATACCTTTGCAGTGCAGACTCTCCGCAAATGCGGCAAAGTAGCCAAAATCGTGAGTGTAACCTTTTGAATTATTTGTCATTTCAGTTATCATTTTATTGACCATATTTGTGTATCACTGGCAGCTGAAATCAGAATTTAATGAATGAACAATTAATTTTTGTCCCCATCATTCATCAGATGGTAAAGAGATCAAGAAAAATCCCTGTCAGCGTGATTAAACGTGCTGCGTCCCCAGACGACCGTGTCTTTAGTGGCGACTACAACGATGACTATGACCACGACCGGCACAGCGTCTACAGCGGCCGCAGCTACCCTGACCGCGACATGAGTTACGCAGACGAGCGTGATCGCGACTACAATCGCAGCCGCGGGAGGAGCATGGAGCGCGGCCTGAGCCCCGACAGACAGTACAGACGAGATGGCAGCCGCGGCCGAATGCTGGACCACGAGCGCAGTCCCGACCACCGTTACCGAAGTGACCACAACCTGGATCGCGACCACAGCCCGGACCGCCGCTACCGGAGCGATCGCACACTGGACCGCAAATACAGTCCAGACCGACGCTATCGCAGCGAACACAACCTGGACAGAGAGCAGAGTCCGGACAGACAGTACCACATCAGCCGTACACTGGACAGATCACATAGTCCTGAGACACGGTACAGGCCCGAACCGGCTCCAGGATACAGCAGAGAGAATTTAGCCAGTGGCCACGAGCGCAGGAGCTTCGATCCGCGGCAGGACGAATCCATGAGGAGGAGTAGCAGTCGAGACCGGCTGGATCGCTCGCCCTCGCCGCCGCCGCCGCCACAACGAGACGAACCCTTAGAGAAGCCGCTCAGTGTTACTCTACTAAAGAACCGGCCCAATGATGGTAGAGACGCACCGCCTACGTTTATCTGTTTCCAGTTTCAACCTGCTGCCTAGCGTCTAACGTGATGTTTTCTCTTATCTGTCCAGAATATGGCCTTCGTCTTGGCAGTCAGCTGTTCATCAAAGAGATGACGAGCACCGGCCTGGCATCCAAACAAGGCAAACTACAGGAAGGTGACATTATTCTGAAAGTACGTCTCTTGAACAACCACTCAGAACACACCACAAAATTTCTAGCCTATATATACAAAATATATAAGCCTATGGCCTACAAAATATATAACTTTATAATAACAACCATTTGCAACACTATTCAGAACAGCTTATCAACCACATTGCAGTGCACTGGTAACCACAGCAGTATCCTAGCATTGTGGGGATGCATTTTGCACTAGCAAGCAAACTTCCCTTTTTCCTTTTTTTTCATGTTTTTGCTAACCAAGCAACTTTTTAATGCTCACCAAGGCTGCATTTATTTGGTCAGAAATACCGTAAAAACTGTGAAACATTATTACAATTGTATAAGCTGTTTTCTATGTGAATATATTTCAAATGGTCATTTATTCCCGTTCAACTTCAAATCTGAATTTTCAGCATCATTACTCCAGTCTTCAGTGTCACATGATCCTTCAGAAATCATTCTAATATGCTGATTGCTGCTCAAGAAACATTTCTGGTTATTATCAATGTTAAAAACAGTTGTGCTGCCTCCTGATTTTAGTGGAAAAGTTAAAGTTCAAAGGCACAGCATTTATTTTAAACAGAAATGTCAAATTATAAGTGTCTTTACTGTCACTTTTGATCAATTTAATTAGGGATGCACCGATATGAAAATTTTGGCCGATACCGATAACCGATTATTCTTTATATTTGATGCTCTCACAAATGTGTTGCTCGTTGTTATTTAATGTGAGTTAATGCATTAACTAATGGGACCTTATTGTAAAGTGTTACCAAGTAGCTAGTTAATTACTCAAAAGTTAATAATTTATATGCTGTTTAAACTTTAGTCAAGCTACCCTTTAAAACAAATATTGATGCTGCAAGTTACTAGCAAAAAGTATTTACGTTAGCCAAATTAACATTTCAGAGGGTGATAACGTTCATATTAGATCATTTGATTAATAATCAGAGTATAAAAACAATGAGGAACTGAAGTTAGGTGAAAGTATTAAACACATTTATGTGGATGCAACTAATAAACTAGAAAACTACCAAATTTATGATAGAACTTAATAGGAAAGAAGCCAAAGCATGATTGAATGATTTTACAAATGAACTGACAACACATTAAACAGAAATGTTACAAAAGCCCGTGCAAAGGGAGTAAGTCATTTTCTTCGGTTGGTAGAGATGAGCCTCCCAAGAGACTGGCTAAAATGGGAGCGATGCCGACTCCATTCAGAGCGGTGCCGGTGGATCTCCCGCCTCCACCTGTGGAGAAAGAAGAGCCTCGCAGCGAGTCTCCAGGTACCACAGTTCCTCTACACCACAGTGGATTATTGAAAATTTTATTATTTAATGCACTGGTCTAAAACTCAATTCCTGCAGGGCCACAGCTCTGCACAGTTTAGCTCCAACCCTAATCAAACACACTTGATCCAGCTAATCAAGCTCTTCAGGTTTACTAGAAACTTCCAAGCAGGTGTGAGTTGGAGCTGGTTGGAGCTACACTCTTCAGTGCTGTGGCCCTCCAGGAATTGAGCTTGAGACCTCTGAATGCAATACATGGTCATTTTCACCATGTAGAATCAGAAGAATAGAAGAAACTGATTTTTTTTTGTATACAGTTCCCGTGGTAAATGCTGCTCCAAAAAGTGTTCCAGTAAAAACCAAGCCTCTGCCAAAGGTTCTCCTGCGGCCCAGTCTGGAGGACCAGGAAATATACGGGTTTGTACCAGATTCACCCTTGGCTTTGAATTCATTAATTCATTCATTTTAAGATAAACTTGAAAGCTGTCCATATTGTTAATTTAATTCGTTCTATTGTGAAAACATATTTGATAAAGGGATGTTGAAGTGCGTTTGCAGTATCTTGCTGACATAGTAGAAATCACTCTGTGACAACTCAGCAAAAATAGCCACCAATAAACTATTTAATTTCAGTATCCATTTATGCCTTAAATTTTTGCATGTATTATCTAGAGACATAAAATCTTTTTCACATGTGCTAAGGTCCTGTTTATTGCTGCTTACTGATATATTTGGACAGCTTTGTGGTTCTAACGAATAATCTCCCACAGCCCCAACACTGTGATGGTGGGCTTCCAGAAGGGCGATAGTGTTGGCCTGCGTCTCGCTGGAGGAAACGATGTGGGCATTTTTATCGCAGGCATTCAGGAGGACAGTCCTGCCGAGATAGAGGGACTCCGCACTGGAGACCAGATTGTGAAGGTGCAAAAGCACTGGCTCTACATTTTAATATTATGTGCCTTTATCCATCATACATTTTCCCACATTGTCCAGTGGTCATTTGTGTTTTTCTTCCCCTGCAGGTGAATAATATGGATTTCAGAGGAATGGTCCGGGAAGATGCAGTCCTGTATTTACTAGAGATTCCCAAAGGAGAGGATGTGACCATCTTAGCTCAAAGCAAACCTGATGGTACTTCAAAACATACAATTGTTATTTTTTTTGTCTAATGCCTTGTAATTTTGAGCAATAGAAGGGATGGGAATAACTCTCATTTGCTTTATTTTAGTGTATAAAGACATCCTGGCATCTGGACGAGGTGACAACTTCTTCATCAGAACTCATTTTGAATATGAGAAAGAGCTTCCTCAGAGCTTGACCTTCTCCAGAGGAGAGGTATTTAAAGTGGTGGACACCCTGTATGACGGAAAGCTGGGTAACTGGCTCGCCATCCGCATGGACCAAGACAATCAGCTCCTGGAGAAAGGCATCATACCCAACAAGAGCAGGTGAGACATGAAATACACGGTGCCTTAAAAGGTCTTAGTTTTACTGTATTTATTTAGCATTTTTAGGAGGAAAACTCAACATGAAATCAAAACTGACCCTCTGAAATGACGTTTGCTGACATCACCTAGTCTGCTATTTCATGTTGATATTAAAAGCACATTATTTGTTAGGTGTTTGTGTAATCCTTTTATTTATTTGTATACTGTCAGAGCGGAGCAGATGGCAAATGTTCAGAACGCACAGAAAGGCGCTACCAATGACAGAGGAGATTTCTGGAGGCTGAGAGGTCAAAGAGCAGCTAAGAAAAAAGACCTTCGCAAGAGCAGAGAGGATCTGAGCGCTACACCCGTCACTACACGCTTCCCAGGCTACGAGAGAGTGGTGCTGCGGGAAGGTTTGCCCATCATGCATTGCTTTACCTAACATGCATTTCTGTTTAAATATACATTTGAATGATTTGGGGCTAAATAAAAAAAATTTTTTTTTTAAAGTAATCAATTTTTATTAATTAATTTGATTAATTATTAAATATTTTTATTTCTAGTGCTATTTCACTTGAGGCTCTAAAACCTATAAAAACAAGTATAGGTTTCAATAGGAAACAAGTTTCAAATTATATGCATTTTGTTAATTTATACATGCCTTTTATTTATGTATAAAGTATTTTGTTTAATCCTATTATTTTTTATTTATAATTTAGTTGATTATTTGAGGCACTCAGTGTGTTTTGTTTAATACATTTAATTTAAAAATATACATTTTTTGATTTTTTTTTTTAAAATAAATAAAAAAATTTTTGGTCATTTTATTTAAGAAGCTTGACATGTTTATGTACTAAGTGTTTTTCTTTCTCTCTCCCCCACCAGCTGGGTTCAGAAGACCTGTCGTAATATTCGGCCCTATTTCCGATGCGGCCAATGAAAAGCTGAGCAATGATCTCCCAGATGAGTTTGTCACAGCAAGTAAGCAATTCACAACTTGTATGAAAGATCTCTTCTTATATATTGATGTGTAGTTATGGATAAGGTGTTTGATCTGTGTTTGTCCCATGACAGAGACCGAGCCTAAAGACGCGGGCTCAGAGAAGTCGTCTGGTGTTGTGAGACTCAATACTATTCGTCAGATCATCGAGCAGGTGAGAACAGTCACCGTTCTGAATTTATGAATATAACAGCAATTCATCAACATCTAAAAATATTATTTTCTTGTTCCAAGGACCGACATGCTCTGCTCGACGTCACCCCAAAGGCTGTAGACACCCTAAACTACACCCAGTGGTATCCCATCGTCATTTTTCTCAACCCAGACAGTAAGCAGGGGGTGAAGACCATGAGAAACCGCCTGGTTCCCGGCTCCAGCCGCAGCTCACGCAAGCTTTACGAACAAGCAGTTAAACTGCGCAAAACCTGCTCACACCTGTTCACTGGTTAGTCCCATGAACCTTTCCTCAAAATTACGCTCATATAAGATCCATTTTATTCTTTCCCCAGTTCTGATTTATTTATTTATTTATTCAAATTTCGTGTTTTATTTGTCCGGATTCAGTTTTTAACTTTTTTTTTTTTTTTGATGGTTCAATTAAATGCTAGCAATCAATAAAGAGGTCTAAATAATTTTAATTAACTTAATAACAATTTATTAAAAGTTTAACACCATGTCCTAAATACACGCGACACCACGACACACGATAAAAGGTATCTTTTCCATGTTAATCAGAGTTTTTGTCCTAACTAGCTGCGACGGCGACACGCGAAATTTCTAATTTAGAAACGGTTTCTATTTCTGCGACGTCGCGGCTGGAACAACGACATACAAACTATACAGTCTATAATGATTATGTGCTTTATTCAAAGTTACACGTGTCTAATATGAGTTTAAATATCATTTTGTGTGACCTTATAGCCAAACTGAAAGCAACAACAGAGTTTACCTCAGATCTTGAAAATAAATTAAAGCAAAGATGTCCGTTAAAACTGTGAACTCACTGAGAAACCAGCAAGTGTTTTCCATAACAATCAGTCACTCAGTATGTACATTTAATGATGTTAAAAATGCTTAATATTTATGAATTCGATTATAAACTTATACATTTCGTTGCGAGTGCAGTGCGCTTCCAAAGAGAGCCCGCCCACACACGCTTCTGATTGGCTGTGATATTTGATTTTGTTGCGTCGCGTCTAGTTGCGGGAATCTTGTCGCGTCACGTGTAGTTAGGACACGGTGTAAGAAAAGTTAGGGCACCATGAAATGAGTTTTATTCTCTCAAATTGTATGTTTTCCTTTTTTTTGTCATCATTGCATTTTAATGGTTTAAACCTTAATCAAAAAGCATGTCTGATCAATTGAATTCATGAAACTCAATTTATTGAAATTTTTTACAAAAATGGTGCCCTATAAAATATTTTCTTTTTTCCAGAAATTTTGGGTTGTCTGTTTAATTGTTCAGGATTTATGAATTAATACAGTTTTTTTTATTATCAAAAATGGAGGTAATCAAATGAATGCATAACACAGTAATAATTCAATTAATCTTTTATATATATATATATAGAGATTGTTACTTTTTTTGGCCAACAAAGTGCTACACAACAGAGTTTTACTCTCGGAATTAAAATATTATTATAGAAGAAAAATAAAATAAAACAATAAAAATTATATTCCTTAAAAAATAAAGTTATAAATGTCTAAATGATGCTTCCCTGTCCAGCTACCATTGATCTGAACTCTTCCCATGATGCCTGGTTTGGAAGTCTCAAGGATGCCATACGAGAACAACGAGATAAAGCTGTCTGGGTCTGTGAAAGCAAGGTAAGCGGTAACACACAACACAATTACAAACAACTGGGCTTCATTTCATAGTTTTGTATTCCCTTAAACAAACCAGGTTTTCTAATTGAGTTAATCATGTTAAGTGAATGCCTAGCCAGCCTGAATTGACATGTGAAATGACCATCATCAGACCTTTGAGAAGTATTATATATATTGTTTCAGCTTGATGGGTCTGAGGAGGACTTGGATCTCCATGATGACCGTATGTCGTACCTGTCGGCCATGGGCGCAGACTACCTGAGCATGGACAGCCGTCTGACCAGCGATTACGAGGATACGGCGGATGAGGGCGGCGCGTACACGGATAACGAGCTTGACGAGTCCACCGACGAGCCGCAGCCGAAGTCAGCCATCAGCCGCTCGTCTGAGCCTGTTAGCGAGGAGGTTAGTGTGCTGTGGAAACCTTGCTGTCATTTGACCACAGTCAGGAAGGTGATTTAAGCCCTACCCATAAACTAACTGGAAACATTTGATTATAAACATCTGTAAAGGTCACTCATCCTGTTTTCAGTATCGATATCATTATCACTGACTGTCATATACGAGTATCAGTGATAAGAAAAGTGTTCATGGTCCTGGTTTGAGCACGCTGCTCCCCACAGGACACTCGAGAAACTGCATATTCAACACACAGTCATGTTCAACATCAGTCTGACACATGATCTTTAAACTATCTGCCAGAAATCAGACACTCGTTTAGTCACACTGAATGTATGTGCCATTCAAATAACTCTCAAAGTAAAATAGTTTAAATACATGTGAATGTACATAACATTTTTAATAACATTTTTCAAGGCAAAAACAGTTATTTTCCAACTAGCAAGACTTCTTATATACTATGAATAGTGTGAAGTTTTTTTAATGGCTGTCATAAAAACAATGTTTTTACAAGGATCCATTCTGTGGTGTAATTTTATGTTTAATAATATGTATACACCTCACTAACGGAACTTGCAGGAAACATGTGTTTCTTTCATTTTTTTTTTTTTTTTAAATAATAATAAGATTACTTTGCACTGCTGTCAAAAAAATTAAGAGTTAGGTTTTTTTAAAAATAAAATTTATATTTTATTCAGGAAGGATGCATTAAAATAAAGACATTTGTTACAAAAGATTTCTGTTTCAAATAAATGCTGATCCACTTGTTTCCACTAAAATATTAAGCATCAAAACCATTTCCAATGTTAATAATAATCAGCAATGTTTCTTGAGCAGCAAAGCAGCATATCAGAATGATTTCTGAAGATCATGTGACACTGAAGACTGGAGGAATGATGCTGAAAAAAATAAAGGAATAAATTACATTTCAAAATATATTACAATTTGAAAATAGGTATTTTAAATTGTAATATTTCATATCTTTTATATAAAAAAAATACAGCCTTGGTGTACATAAAATAAAAAATAATAATAGTAATAATAATTATTATAATACAAAAAATGTCAAAAACCTTTCAAGAGTTGTTATATCAAAGTACAAGGAACTGAAAACTTGTCTGTTGTAGGTGTGCATTAATTTTTTTTGTATGTATTTTTAAATGACTTCACTTTTTTTTCGCTTTCACGCAGAGACCCATACCTGTTCCTCATGAGCGTTTAAAGAAGCCTGCGGGTAAAGAGGTGCAGCGGGACCCCAGCCCGCCTCCATCATTTGTCCCTGATCCCCCTAAGGTCAGTGTTTTCCTCCCCTGAGGTGTTTCTGAAGCTCATCACAGACAGTAACTGTTGTTCCTGCAGGTCCGGGCAGCTTCACGTCCTGCAGACTCTCGCTCCAGCAGCACAGTCAGCAGTGATGCTCCTGTCAGTAGCAGACCTCTTCCACCGCCGGTAGCCCAGAAGCCCAGTTTCACCTCGAGGACGGGCCCCGCAGACGACACGACCTCCGGCGACCCTCTCAATGACCCCGCCAGCCGCACCTTCCGGGGAAAGGTGAAGGCCTTCGAGCAAATGGACCACCTGGCCCGGGCCAAAAGGATGCTGGAGCTGCAGGAGGCGGAACGAGCGCGGGTTTGTGCCTCATCTCATTCACACCAGCTACTGTGTTTCTCATAGCAGGAACATCACAAACACTGTCCTGAAGTGTCATATTTCACCCCAAAATCACAAGAAAAGTAGTGAGATATTCGGAATAAACAAAATGAAGAACATGAAAAAAGCATAGATTTCACTGCTGATTTTAATTTAAAACAAAAAGGTCTAGAGGTAGATAGATATTTGCGTGATTTGGTATAAAATATAAAAACTATAGTTATAAATATATATATATTGATATAATTTTTTATTTCTGTATCATTTTATAATATAATGATATATAAATTATAATATATATTTTTCTTTTCTTTTAAATTTTCGTGGATTTTCGTTTAATATTACCTGGATATTTATGTTTGAAATGTATCTGTTCATGAAAAATAAAGTTTCCAGAAAATGGAAGTCACTGTAATTCAAAAGAAAATCACCAAAATCACAAGGAAAATATGTATATATAAAAATATTTATGTTTTGAATAAACAAATATTTTATTATTATTATTGTCATGGCAGTTAAGCATATATTTCATTTGAAATGTATTTGTTTATGCGAAAATAAAACAAAATAGTCTAAACAGGCTGATTTTGGATAAAATATAAAAACTATAATTATAAAAATGCCTATATACTGTATATATAATTAACTTTAATTTGATTGTGTAAATAAAAATTAACAAAGCTATAATAATGTGATATTTTATAACTAGAATATAATTATATAATCTATAAATATACTAATATATTCAAATTGTAAAATATAATTATTTTTAGGGTGAAAAATAATCAGGACATTTATTTTTGTGATTGAAAATTAACAGAATATTGAAATCACTGAAACATATATATATATATATTTTTTAACAGCTGGAAATATCTCAGAAACATCCAGATATTTATGCAGTTCCCCACAAGCCAAAACCAAACCAAAACAGGCCTCAACCAATTGGGTAAGTTTGCTCTTGGGCCTTTTTTTCCACTAATGCTCACTAATTCTCTAAACCAGGGATCCAGACTTTCCTGCAGAGTTTAGCTCTAACCCTAATCAAACACACCTGAGCATGCTAATCAATATCTTCGGGATCATTAGGAAATCACAGGTAGGTGAGTTTGATCAGGGTTGGAGCTAAACTCTGCAGCACACTGGCCCTCCTGGGCAAGATTTGAGGAACCCTGCTCAAAAGTGTTGATGTGCTGTTTTGTTGAACGGGCCGTCCCATCAGTAATGGCTCTGATCCCTTCAGCTCCAGCTCAAACTCTGAGTCCCACAGCTCCTCTAAAGCGCTGTATTCAGAGAGCCGCTCTCACCATGATGAGGATGATGATGATGAAGAGTATCGCCGGCAGCTGGCCGACCAAACCCGCAGAGGCTACTACAATCCCCAGAAATACAGCGACACTGAACTCTAACACCCAGCGTCCCACAAACACTCACAGCAGAACAAGCCGAGTCTCTTCACCGAGGTCCGTCTGTGTCGGGATGTTTCCTGTGCATGTCATTATAAACGAAATCAGTGTGTTTCTAGTAGTTGTGTGAGTAAGAGGGACTATCGTGAACCACAGATAAAGCACAAACACACATGCAGTATAAACACGCCATTTATAAAACAGCATCTTTTTATACCTTCAATGTTTTTATATGAAATTTCAGTATATATTTCTTGTTTTTTTTTTTTGTTCTTTCAGACTGTTTGTACGTCTTTAGTTTTGATTTCTCCCACAAGGCCATGCATCTGTTTCTGCTGAAAGCTACTAGATGGAGTTCACGTTACACACTCCTCATTTACACTACATAAACCAAAGTGAAAGTGGGTTAAATGTTATTCTCCAAAATATTTGCTGAAGTGCCTTAATGTCATCGATCAATCATGTATTAACTTATGCTTAGCAAATGCTTGCTGCATATACACTACTATGATATAATTGTTAAAAACGGGCTTCTGATATAATGTCACATCAGTTTTTATGTTGATTCTCTCAGATCATGTGTCTGTGACCAGTGCTTTGGGTTTAACCACTAATAAAACAAGAGTTGTGGGATTTTTACATTTTAAAGACAAATAAATAAACCTGACTTTTAATGTTGTTACTTTGCTTGTCGTTGTTCATGCTTTCCTCACTATTGCTATTAAAAACGCAAACCATATGTAGAGCAGAATTTAACAGATTCTGAATTGTTGGGTATGTTTATATCTTTATTATTTATAGTAATTAACATTGTGCTATTATATTTATGTACAAAAGCTCTGCAATCTAAATGGTTGCAAATGTGTGCTACTGTGCAAATGTTTTTTTAAATAATGCTTTTTATTTAGCAATGGTGCATTAAATCTATAGAATATTGAAGACTTCCATTGTTATTGTTTTTTAATTCTCACGATTTCTACGTAAATAGTAAGCAGCACAAATGTTATAAACATTAATCATAAATATTTATGGGAATGATCAGAATGATTTCTGAAGGATCATGTGACACTGAAGATTGAAGTAACGATGTTGAAATCTCATCTTTGATCACAGAAATCAATTTCATTTTAGAATACATTCACATAGAAATCAGTTACTTGAAATTGTAATAATATTTACACATTATTTTATTGTATTTTTAATTAAATAGATGGTGGTTTTGTGAGCATAAGACTAAACTGCAGCATATTTTTCAGCTTTTTGAAATGTCCAATTGTTTAAAATTCTACTAGTTTACTACGTTACATAAGTTACTCTACGCATGAATGCTGCTGTTATTTATTAAAGAATTAACCAGAAAATAAATAAAAGTACAGTCAGACTAATCTTGGGTGAAAAAGTAACCACCTATCAACCACATAGAAAACACATGATATAAATGTGAACTATAGAAAATGCACATTTTTAATGAAAACAAAGCAACTTAAATATTTAGTTAATTGACTCCTTTACTTTGAGTTGCTTGATGAGAAGAGTACAGCTCATACATCAGATCTGTGTCAATAACAGCTCGATTCCAATGTTCCTGTGTTACTGTGCTCAGTGATCTCTGTGACGGTTTAGGTCCAGTCGTGTGTCGAGCACATGATCGATCTGCATTCACTTCTCTTTGCTTCTAATGCCAGGCCTTCAGAGATCCGGCAGACCAGAGAGATTAAGGCAGGTCACATGGTGCACTAATGGAATAATGAATACATACATACATCCAGTTAAATAAATCTGTAAACCGTTATATTAATCTTCCAATAAGTAGTAACTCTGGATCAGCTCATGCGGAGGGGAGGGTGTTGTAGCCCTGCAGAGTGTCAGATGTAGACGGGTTGTTCCTGGGCCGTGAGCAGGCGGTACATGGCTGCAGGCATAGTCTTCATATGGATCTGACAAAAACAACATATTGCAGTATTCACCTTTACTGGATATCCATTCATGTGCTGTATTTTTATGATTATCGGAGTACTGAGCCATTAGCTTAGCACCATGCTAACTTCAAAGCTGTAAACAGCCGTGTTATTATAGTAAACCAAGGCTGCGTTTACACAACACCATTTTTATTTAAAAAAACGTTAAACTGTTTATGCGTTTTGGCCATTCATTTACACGACAATGGTGTTTTGGGGGCTTGAAAACACAAACTTTTTAAAACAGGTTTCAAAGTGCACGTTTTTGAAAACAATACTGCTATCATCTCCGTGTGAACTAGAAAAAAACACAAATTTGTGAAAACGTTGACGTCATGCGTGTATGTATTACATGTTCAGTCTATAAGTTTGCGCGCAGATGCGTGTTGTTCCTTTACAAAGTGACGTCGCCATGAATAATACAGCTTTTTTTAGTTGTTTTCACAGATCTGTATGAAAGAGATCATTTTGACAACACTGTCGTTTGTACACGAAACTCTTTTTTTTTTAAACGCAAAGAAAAATCTTTTCTGTTTCAGTACATTGTTGTGTTAACGCCTAAAACCATATATATATATATATATAGTTACTGGAAATAAAATGCATTTTAACTAATTAAATAAAATCTAAAAACTTATTTTATTTGATCTAGTTGCCAGAGCAACATTTCTCATTTTAAAATGATTAAAAGCTATAGACATTTTTTTAAAACTACTAAAAATGACATAAATTCCACAAAAGTACTAAAACTTTATAATTAAAATGGAAAATATACTAATATAAATTATTCAAAATACTAAAAAAAACTCAAATAGTATTTCAATGTATTGCATCAATTTTCTCAAAAAAGCGAAAATATATTTTTAAATTATATAATGCATGTTGTCTGTGGTAAAATCACTATAACGCACAGCCTCAGGAGATGCACTGCTGTTATAAAATGGCAGTAATAGCAATATGATGAAAGCCAACCAATATGCCATATATTTTGAAATGTATTAATAATCAGAATAAAGTCTCTGCCATACGTGTTCATCAGCAATTTACAGTTGCCAAGCAACATAGCAACTAAACTGTATATACAACATGCACATTTATACGGAGTATGAGTCACAGATATGTGTTCATCGTGGCTCATCCAATCAGAATTTAAGAGCTGAAACTATTGAAAATCAGATTTAATAAAATCATGATCTCACACTTGAAAACGTACATTAATAAAATCTAATAAAACTAAAAGAAAAATGTATTTATAAAGCTGACTTACAAAGTAAAAAGTAATAAGAATCAGCATTTGACGAATTATTTTTACTTCAAGAATTTTTAGAAATAGTAAAACATTTCCTTAATTTTGCAAGACTTCAGACTTCTGAATTAGACTACTGAATTATGGCTGATATTAAAGGGATAGTTCACCCAAAAATGAAAATTCAAAACCCGTAAGAGCAGAAACATAGCAAGTGCATCGGTAAAATAATCCATGTGGCATCAGGGGTTCAGCCGTAATTTTACGAAGCTACGAGAATACTTTTTGTGCGCCACGCGGATATGTTTTCTACGTTGTACTTACGCTTCGATCTGAACATAAACAACGTATCCACGTGGCACAGCTGACACAGAACAGCATACGTTGTTTACGTTCAGTGGATACTCTCAAAAATGGCGCCAGGGTGACGCGGAGTAGACAAATTGTTGAATAAAGTCGTTATTTTTATTTCTTTTTTTTCGGACAAAAAGTATTCTCGTAGCTTCGTAAAATTACGGTTGAACCCCTGATGTCACATGGATTATTTTACCGATCTCCTTGCTATGTTTCTGGACCTTGATCGTGGTAGTGACCTTGCTGTCTATGGGAGGGTCAGAGAGCTCTCAGAATTCATCAAAAATATCTTAATTTGTGTTCTGAAGATGAACGAAGCTCTTACGGGTTTGGAACGACATGAGGGTGAGTAATTAATGACAGAATTTTCATTCTGTGTGAACTATCCCTTCAATAATGTTTTCATCTGATTTATTTCATTGAAGCAATTTGTGATTTAATCGTGTGGCTGAAGTGATTCTCCAAACGAGCCGAGGCGGTGGTTTACCTCTCCTACAGCGTTTGACAGGATGTGAACGATCTTCTCGTGAGCTGTGGCCACCACGCTCTGACCGCTGATCTCGATGATACGATGGCCGACGCGGACGCCTCCTCTCTCGGCGATCCCCCCTCGCATCAGACTGCAGATCTGAACAAAACACAAGCTCTGTCAGGCAGCAGCTGCTGCAGTAAAATATCACACGCTTCTCATGTTTTACTGTGAACACCCACAATGCCATTCTGCACACTGAAACCCAGCTGATAGCGCAGGTCTGGTCTGCGAATGAGCACCATGGTCACCGGAGGACATCTGACGATGTTCATCTTGATCCTGGATTGAGCCTTGAGCCCCTGAACACACAACAGCATTTGTGGAAAAAATCAATCCCAGAATGCACGCTGACCTACTGTAAATGACAAAAATCTATCCAAGATAGCAGAATACAGTCCATTTAAGTTCAGCTTATAAAAAATGTGATTATTTGTGTGTGCTATGTATTTTTATGATTATTAGAGTACTGATTCGTATGGCAATATCAAACTCCTCTGGAATCATGTTGAAATGGCTAAAGCAAAAAAATTTATTATTTGTGTGTGCTATGTATTTTTATGATTATTAGAGTACTGATTCGTATGGCAATATCAAACTCCTCTGGAATCATGTTGAAATGGCTAAAGCTTAAGCTAAAGGCTACAATGCTTGCAGATGTAATAAAAGATCAGAAATGTAAACGACAGTAAAAGAAAGTCCTACTTTAATGATGCTCTGGCACGTGGAGAGCGGCAGGCCCACCAGACTGGTGCCGTTGACGGTCATGATCTGATCGCCGATGTTCAGTCTTCCAGACTTGGCCGCGGGTCCGCCGTGCATCAGGCTGGCGATGATGACCGTGGGGAGGATGGAGCCCCAGCCGGACTCCACGATTACCACACCCAGAATCTCCCCTTTCTGCTTCTCGATGTACACCTGACACAAATACTGCTCACTGAACATACTCCAGCAGTGACTTTATTTAGTGAAAGTCCTACGGCTGCTGAAGAATGTATAGAAGATGATCAAGTCATTTGTGTCCCAATGACTCTTTATATAATTACAGGTAAAAGCGTAAATAATTAACTTAGTCATATTACTTAATAGTTTTAACGCTGTTAGTGTGCATGGCAAAATTAATTTTAATGTAATCCAATCCTTTTATTTTAAAATGTTTGTTTGTCTTTACCAAATCTGCCAATTTGCAGCATGGTTACCACTGCAAAAAGTCTAATTCTACCTACGTTTTGTTTTTGTCAAAATTAAAATAAAATCTATAAATGCATATTTTTTTTTTTATCTAAAAATGTCATGCATATTATGGGAAAATGTAGCATGTGTTTTTGTTTCTGTTGTGCCATACACATTTCCACCTTAAGAATATAATGGTTTGATATTCCTGGGATCATATTTGAAACAGTGACTTTTTTACCATGCTTCAATTAGTTTTTCTCTTGTTATGCTTAAATTGGGCTTTACATTTTCCAAAGCTTCATTTCTTATTTCAATTCTGATTTATGAACAAAAAATATATACTGATTTTTTTTTTCCTTGGGAAACATTTTGACTGAGTAATATGTCTTTAAAAGGATTTACTAACAGCTTGCACCAGCGCAAACCATCTTTTGGTGTTAAAATAGTACTGTCAGGATTTAACTAAAGACACGCAGTGATGAATTAGCGCTGAAAAGGCGTGAACACAGTTAGTTTTGTGCCTGACCTTTTTGAATATGCATTTGTTTCCCTTTCAGCGCACAATTTATGGGAGGAGAGTATTTAAACGAATCATGCAACGCGATTTACTACGATTTAAAGCTCGTCAAATTACTGGTATTTGTGGCATTATTTAACGGCAAAAAAGCATGTCTTAAAGCAGGAGGTCATTTGCGCTGCTCTTGGTAGATTGCGTTGGTCATTATGAAATGAACCTGTGTTCTTTAATGTGTGCATTGTTAGTAAATCACATGCAGAATTTTCCCCTCCCGTCGGCGCTTATGAAATTGTGCTCTAACGCTAATTTGTCCTGTTTAGTAAATCTGGCCCGTAGCGTGATATTTCCTATCTTAGCCATTTTAGAACTAATTGAACGTTTGTCAGTGCAAATGGAAATCTAATCTTAATGAATTTAAGTATATAAATTTCAAACTTCAAATTTCAATGCATATGATCTTCAAACAGGGTTGAAACATTTTAGTTTAGTTTGGCTTAGCAACAAATAAATACTTTAACTGTTGCTACTTTGCTGGGCTGTACACACATATTTAAAACTGCCATAATAGTCTTTTTGGGAATAAAGATTTAGCCATTGGAAAACCCAGAAAGAAAATGGAAAAACGGAATTGAATTTCTCAGCTATAGTCACTTTATGGCAACTGGTTAACTTACATCTCTGCAGTTTTCAGACTTGGAGAAGTGAATGAGGTCGTCGTTGTACATGTCCTGAGTGTTGAGCAGGTCGCTGTACTCTCTCTGGCTCAGGTCCTCTGGATCGATGCCATTGGCTCTCAGAAACTCCTGATACGCAACGCTGAAGGCCTGACCGATGGACTGAGCAATCAGCTGAGCCTGGCAGAGAGAAACAATGAAGGAAATACAGGAAACATCAAGAATTTGCATTCTTGCATGAAGTGCATGGTGTAAGAGTTCATACGCGTACATCTTCTGACTCAAACACGTGGCAGATCATCTTGTACTGGCGGCAGTCGTCCCGCGCTGGGTTTGTGTGCTGCGTCTCTGCAGCGTCTAGGTTCTCCTGTGCGCTCTGAGAGCGAATCATCTTCCTGCGAGCCATCAGCACAACCATGTTCCCGATGTCAGCGATGTACGAGATGGTCCTCAGCGGATCGTCCATCATGGTGTCCTGCCAAGATAAAGACAGTCAGCTTGGTTTTTTTAAGTGCCAATCATTTAATCGAATGTTTTGGGGGGTTACTCCTGTAATTACATATAGTAATTCAGTATTCATCCTGGCTTCATATGGTTTTGAAAAATGTCAATCATTTTTAAAAAATTGTTTTTAATTACATTTTTAAATGTAACATGTATTTCTTTTCTTTTTTTACACGAATATCATGAAAATGATCATTTTGGCCAGTTGCATCATAACATTTCACAACGTGAACAAACCTTGCCATGTCATGAAAAGGTAAAGATATTTGATATTTTAGAGAATTGTTGATGCTGACATGCGTTCATGATGAGGGTCTGCAGAAGTCCCTCTCTATGACATCACTTCCTGTTTTTTTCTGCATTTTTTGTTGCATCACATGACTTGGCAGTCTCTAAGCAGTGAAGCAGTGTTTGGTTTTATAAATAAGAATAAAAGATTACTAATCTTACAAACTACTAATTTTTACTTTTTATTCTTTTAATCAATTTATTTTTTCTTCATTATGATATCAGGACATTTGTATCACCCTGACATTCTTAACTTAATTCTCCAATGAAAATGTTGGCATGTTATATATATATATATATACTGTATATATATATATAATATGAAGAGTTCATTTGCAAAAATGTTCAAAAATCATGTTTTTTCATTGTGCATTCAAATTAAAAATAAAAAAAATGACAAAACAAATACAGGTAACTAACAAAATGACAACACAACATGACAACATATTATAAAACAAGATTTTTATCTATTTTTGCAAATAAACTCTTCATATATATATATATATATACATACATACATACATACATACTGTATAATAATCAAAAAACATGTTTGTGTATCTTAAGCTAAAGTACAAAATACTTATATCATATTTTAAATAGTATTTCAAACAATGAATTTTATTCTTTCTATCAAATGTTCTTCATTATGATATCAGGACACTGGTTTCACCCCAACATTTTTGACTTAATTCTCCAATAAAAATATAAAAATAGATTTGTGTTCAGAAATCTTGAAATGAAAATTGAAATGTAAGAAACATGCAGTAGTGAGTCGCTTTACATGATGTCGGTCAGACGGTCGAAGTGGGCAGTTCTGCATCTACAGTGACAAGCCTGTCCAGCACAAGACATCTGAAGCTGTTCAACAGCAAATTCAAAGTGAGACGAGCATGAAAGTGATTCAAAGAGTGTTGTGCACCTGTGTGTAAGCGCTGAGCACTTTGATCCTCTGCGTCGATATGAAGAGGTCCACTTCTGTGCTGGCCGGCGGCCCACTCTCACTGCCCTGCTGATACTGTAGAGGAAGACACACAGTTATTCCTCTTAAAATAGCACATCACTTCCTGTACTAGCATATACACTAGTCTCCCATAGAAGAGATGCTGTTAGATTTGAATCCCTTGCTACATGTAATCATTAAAATGCCTGTCAATAGAAAAAGAACAGCAAAAAATACATAATACTGCAAATACCAAACTTACTTAAGACCCGCATGAATACAGGAACAAATAGCATACCTTATTTCTGATTTTGGCCTGTGTCTGGGCTGTCTGCTCGACAAGGGACAAATAAAAACAGAGAACGTTCAAATAAAGCCTACAAGCATAAAAGGGCATGGTGGGCGTCTCAGACACAGCGCGATTGGTTTGGAGATGAAGGATACGCCCAGATGAAATAAAACAGGATCATTTGGCTGAAGGGGAGGGTGGGATGTTGGTATAGTGATAGGCTGAAGCTTTGTGGGAAACACTATCAAAATTTGGGCTGTGATCAGAATGACATCAGCAGCCCCAGAGACTAAACCTGACTCTCAGAATCAACTAACTGTCACTCAGATTTGTTTGTTAGCACATGGATGCTAGATATTCAGAGATGTTTGTGACATGCTTTTCACCCATAGCCTCACATAACCTTAGATGAATCATGATGTTACTGACTGTGTGAGGTGTTGGTGTGTACGTGTTTGAGCACGCTGTAAAATCACAGCAGACAGGGACATCCGTCAGGGACGTCCCTGCTCTATATATACGGGTGTGCTGCTCACCCGGACGCGGCTCATGGCCTCCTGGGCCTGCTGCATGCGGGCGCTCTTCGTGGGCGTCCTCTCTGACAGCAGCTGGGTGGAACCCAGGTAGTTTGCAGCAAATATGATGCCGTCAATCAAGTCCTCAGGGTCACACGGGCCAGGAACTGAGGACACAAGCAGACCATAAATATAGCAGCACATTAAACCTGTTATTGTGCATTATTTTTAGGTTTCAAATCAGTGAAGCGCTCTGAATGTGTTTGTAATTCTCATTCTTACATGACTCAAAATCTCAGTTCTGGTATCAGTATAATATTTTCAGGGTTTTTTTCATCAGAAAAAAGGCAAAACAACAAATATATTGTGTTTACATTTTTTTTTTAGCATTGAAAGAATACTTTTTGAATAATGGTAATGAGAATCCAAGGGAAAATGTGCTGGTCGTGAAAATGTATCATATACATGCACATATTAAGTTATAAAATATAATATTATGTCTATAAAAAAAACAATACTTATATATAAAATAAATATGTATCTGTTTTAAATTCTATTTATAGTATGTAAATCATATTTAAAATAGTATTTAAAATAATATGTATTCATTTGTGTTTCATTTTGAGGTCAAATATAACCTGGACATATTTTTGCCAGGCTTTGTGACACAAATTTACACATTTGCATAGTTATTATAACCTTAAATACATTTAAATATAGTTGTGAAGATGGATTACAATCTTACAAGATTATTCAGGATAATACATTCCTTATGAATACTTATGAATCATAATAGTCTTAAAAACAAAAATGTTTGCATATATTCAGATGTAATATAAAACAACTTCTTAAAGTATATAAAATAATCATTCAAATACTTTTTATTCATAATTTTCCCTAGTAAAAAAGTAATAGATTTAAAAGACATTTATTTCATACTAAGTAGAGTTCAAATCTATTAACATATTTACAGACATACTGTATCGCTCGAGACTTACTGATGTAAAAATTATAATTAAAGTTCATTTGGAGTACTACTTGTGCACAATGCACATTTCTTAATATTAATGTCATTATTGATGAGAACTGTATGATCTTCAGTCTTTAAATGCAAGATATTTAAAGTAAATCTGAAGTACACTTGCAATAGTTCCACTTTAGCACAAATATACTTCAGTATTTCTATAGTTGGACTTCAGCGCTACTTCCACACAATTAAAATATATTAGGTACAAAATTAGTTGTTCCAATTTAGCAGACTTTAAGTAAATCAGTTTAATATACTAAAAGTACAACTTTATTTTTATTAAGCACAAAAAGATGTAAATGTATTTGTAGTGTACTTAGCATGAAACAAATGTATTTCAAATACATTTTAGTATATTTATTTTTCACTAGGGTATTAATATTTATAAATAATATACCTGGGCATATTTTTGACAAGCATTGTGACAATGTGAGATTTACATGGAACTGAAATCTAAATATATTTGTATAGATGTAAAGATGGCTTACAATGTTACAAGTTTACGCAGGATAATGAATTATTTGACCAGTATAATAAGAGCCTGCTTTCTTTAACCTTACCTTTAACATATGCAGGGAAAGAGGCCAAATTCTTCCTAGTCTGCAAACCAAAAACACAGTATTACTACAATTCACAGTAAAATTGTAAAAAAATATGGATAAAGATTACATCATAAATATGTCAACTGCAGTCGAATATGATAATTCACCTCTTCACTCGGCACGCTGGGACTGACGTCTACATCCTGGTCCTGAAGATGAACTCCAGAGGATTCTGCTCCCAAAGGAAGTTCAGCATCTTGAATTCGAGCCTGTAAAAATGAAGGCAACCGCTGCTAGTAAACAATATTAAAAAGCTGCATTTTCACCACACTTGTTCTTCTTAAAAATTTCAGTGTAAATGCATGATTTGAATCACTTGATAAATTGACGTTTAATCTAATTTACAGTAGAAATTATAAATTGCAAATATCAAATTATATCTAAAATGATATATTCCATGGTTTCTGTTCCTACTGTACACCTTATGTTGACTGAATAAGTTCAATGACTTTTCCTGTCGTTCATGATTAGTGTATAAAGATATGAATAAGGTTAAGAGTATGATTTTAAAAATTATAGCAATTTCACTCATTTCTAGTAGCTTAAATATTTTTACTAGTGCTGTCAAACCGCGATTAATCGCATCCAAAATAAAAGTTTTTGTTTACATAATATATGAGTGTGTACTGTGTTTATTTATTATGTATATATAAATACAAACACATGCATGTATATATTTAAGAAAAATAGGCTGTTTATATATTAAATATTAGTGCTGTCAAAAGATTAATCGCATCCAAAATAAGTTTTTGTTTACACAATATGTGTGTGATCTGTGTATATTTATTACGTATATATAAATACAAACAAACAAATGTACATATTTAAGAAAAATATGTTATGTTTATATATTAAATATATTTATATATAATATAAAATATAAGAAAATAAATATATAAATGTATATGCATGTAAATATTTCCAAAATGTATACTGTATGTGTGTGTGTGTTTATATATACATAATAAATAAACACAGTACACACTCATATATTATGTAAACAAAAACCTTTATTTTGGATGTGATTAATCGCGATTAATCGTTTGACAGCACTATTAAATATATTCATATATAATATAAAATATAAATATATACATGTAAATATTTTCTAAATATATACTGTATGTTTGTGTACCTCTATATGCATAATGAATATACACAGTACACACACATATATTATGTAAACAAAAACTTTTATTTTGGATGCGATTAATCGTTTGACAGCACTAATTTCTACATGAAGATAAGCATAACTCCATGTCTTTTCAAGGCATGGAAATGCAGAAAAATGTGTTTTTTACAAATTGTCCAAGGCTGCAGGAAACCTGTTGAAAAATTTTTTCTTTAGCATATTTGCCTAAAAACTCATTTACTTCATGTCTGTGCTTATAGAATTGAAAAAAAACCTACAAAACCTTTGGTGTCATTCTGCAAAAATTTCAACTTGTGGCCTATTTAAAATAAACTTTCACATGGAACCTCACCTTAAGGAATTACAGTAATTATGCCGGACAGCTCACTCACCGCATACTGTGGAGAAGACAGCGATAGCTGACATGCAGACTGTGGATGTGAGGGAATCGGAGGCTGTAGCTGAGGATGGTTCTCCTCAACAGGGCTCAAATCCTGTCTCATCACCCACACGGGCTCTGTGATCTTATCAGGCGTGTAGGGCGAGCGCACCGTCTTGGTCTTCACCTCCTCGATAGCGTCCTTAATATCCTTGATGGCCAACGAGACAGCATCTCCTGTAGCTCTGCAAGACTCTGTTATCTGATCCTGGGCTGGAGTGGACGACTTGTCAGATCTTTCCACAACTTCTACCTGCAAATCAGGTGAAAGCTGAGCAGTTTCTGAAGTCAGGAGATGAAAGGCTTCTTGAGAAAGGCTAGTCGAGCTTGACGTCTTCCTGACCTGGGCTCTGACTCTCCCTGAGCTTTCGGCTTCATCTCCTGACTGTTCATCGTAGTGGTGCAGCCTGGAGCCCACTGAACTAAGCTGACCGATGTCTTCCTGAGAGTCGCACTCATCCGTAGTCACACTCTGGTTCCTCTCGTGCATTTGAGGTCCCTCAAGGACTGGATTAGGATCTGTTAGGTATGATTGTGTCAGATAATCTGGGCTTAGTTGTGGGTAAGAATCAGAGCAGGCTTCAGGACTAGAGTCTGAGAGATCCTCTTGATGGTCTTCAACATGGGACAAGGTACTCTCAAACCCTTTATCCTTGTTTGTTTGAGCGTAACCGATGTTAAAATGAGGAGGGTATGAGTTTGGGTCTGAATTGTAGCTTCGAAGAGTCTCAGGGAAGGTTTGTGGAGACTGGAAAAAAGGTTTGTTCATCATCTGGTGAGGAGATGTGGCGAATGGTGGAACGTCTACTCTTAGCGGACTGGTTCTTTTACTTTCAGGATGACTTTTTGAAGCAATCTTAGGAGAAGCATAGTCCTGCTCAGGAGTTTCTTTGAAATAGTCTTTTTCTTGGTTCTCTTTCGCCAGTTCCTCTTCGCCAAATGTTGATTCTTCACTTTGAACCTTCTCCTCCAACTGTTCCATTGAAGACTCTGGATCACGATCAACTTGTGTATCAGATGAATGGGACAGATCTGGACTGTTTCCATCCAGTCTATCAATGATTGATTCATCCTGAGGAGGAGGAGTCAGCCGTTCTTGGGAGGAATCTTCTGGAGATAATGGCTCTGAAGCTTGCTCTTTTGGAGGAGTTTTGACCACCTCTTCTTCTTCTTTGTGCTGTTGTCTATATCTGGGCTGATGGAGTCTCTCTCCACTTTGATGGTGTCTTGACGCCCCCGGTTTGGGCTGTTGGCCAGCTCTAGTTGATGTATCTCCGCTCTCAGCCCGCCTGCGTTGTGCTTGACCGGGAGTATGCCGCCTACGGTGACGCGGTGGACCTCGGCTAGATCCAGACGTGTGCTGGTTGGCTTGGTGGTGACAGTGTTGATGGTGGTGGCCTTGGCCTTCTGCATCCGGATTGTGAAGCTGGCATGGTCTCCATCTGGGTCGACCTCCCTCTAGAGGTGTCCCATTGGGCTGCTTGCTGCGATGAGGGGGAGGACCTCTGAGACCCGCCTCCTCTGGCTCCTCCCTATGGCTCATGGCTCCGCCCACTCACTGCTCATCGCCTGAATGACAGCCAGAAATCATAAAGGTAGTATATCCAACAATATATATGGGAAAACATGTTATGGGAAGCAGATAAACTGTAAAATGTCCAAAAAAGCATACAGTCAAAGCAAAATTTATTCAGACACCTTCAACATTTCTCACATTATCACAGTTTATTCGCTATAGTTTAGATATATTAAAAAGCTGCATTTTCACCACACTTGTTCTTCTTAAAAATTTCAGTGTAAATGCATGATTTGAATCACTTGATAAATTGACGTTTAATCTAATTTACAGTAGAAATTATAAATTGCAAATATCAAATTATATCTAAAATTATATATTCCATGGTTTCTGTTCCTACTGTACACCTTATGTTGACTGAATAAATTCAATGACTTTTCCTGTCGTTCATGATTAGTGTATAAAGATATGAATAAGGTTAAGAGTATGATTTTAAAAAATTATAGCAATTTCACTCATTTCTAGTAGCTTAAATATTTTTACTAGAAAATTAATCTTGACAATGTCAGATAACTTTGATAGAAAGATATGTAATGAATTAGGCTGAATAGCTGTCAGCTGTAAAATTTAAGTACACAATTAGATAATACCAATTTAGGTCTACCAATTACCAAGCGTGTACCAACAATAGTGTCTGAATAATTTGTCACAGTTTACTTTATTTTGCTATCCTCACTTACATAAATTAACTATAGTGTCCTGCACCCACTAATAAAAAAAATATCAAAACATTATATCTGGTGTCTGAATAATTTTTGGTTCGACTGTATTAATATGATGATCTAACAGATATAAATGTAACTATAAATGCACTTAATGTCTAAACAAGCTATGTGACTCTTATATGTGTCTGTGTAATGACAGAGTAACACATTGTATTTGTGTTTCTGCGCAGAGACGTGGTTTATGGCAGTGGCGCTGTCACAGATGGCCTCACCGTGGGCAGCCCTCATGCTCTATACTCCACCGGTCCTGGAGTTCAGCAGATTCATCTGTCAAACCTCCCATAAAACCCAAAGCAGGGGGCTTAACTCACTATTTAAACAGAGATCTTCACTTTCACCATGCAACCTCTTTGTATTGTTTACAACTGAGAGCATGCATGCATATTAGAGTCACTCTGCAGTTCCGGAGGCAGGTGGTGCCAATCACTTTCTGATGGCAAAAAGTTAAACTACAATATACACTAATACAAAAAAAAGGGGGAAAAAAGAGAGGGAAAAAAATTATTCAATTTGTTAGTGATACCAGCCAGAGGTAAATGTATTTTTATTATTATTTTACATTCTATTTAGTATAACTGTGTATGAAATGACAAAGAATATCAATTTAACAATGTTACTGTAAATAATAGTACAAACAATAACATATTAAAATTAAATCACAGCGGGTACAGTAAAGCATGAGTTTCATCTAAAAAAATTGAATGCAAGTCCTGCTTCGATTGTAAATCCTGTTGTGGTTAAAAAAAACAAAACTTGACAGCTGGTTATAGCTGTGGCTAGAAAGTCACCGTTATGGGGCAAGGTTTGGTGCCTGTATATTTTACAGTGCATATCTGATATCAGTAAGCCTTACCTTAAAACAGACTGAACTAGGCTACCTCAACAATACAGGTGGGTAAAACAAAAGGCCACGTTTGAATTCAAATGAACCAAAACTGACCTTGAACCATAGCTAATAAATAAACGTAAAAATAAAGATGACAGAAGGATGAATTAAACAATTGAAATGTAAAACAAAACACCATAAACGAAACGTAAATATAAAATATCATCAAATGTGATGCATCAGGTGAGGAATTTTGGAAACCTTTCACTAATATCACTGTAAATTATAAGGTAGCCTGTATTTTGTTTACAATATTTTAAAATACATGTACATCTTGCTGAATGTATAGATATTCATCATAAATTAAAAGGGTGTTTTTTCCCCCAATAGCAGTGAATAGTAACATAAGATTACATATAATGTTCAGTCAAATCTATCATTATTGTTTCACTGCATATGTTCAAAAAACAGGTAGGCATTTTTACATCAGCATTACAAACATTTAGCCTCTTACTCCTCTTAATATCAGAGAAATCCTCATTGCTTGTATTGTATCTGACCAAATGTGACTATTGAGGATGTATGTATTCACTGCTGCAGTCACGTACAGGTAGACACACACCGCTAACCATCTGCACATCTCGGCGCCTCGAACATTAACAACTACTCGCATCTTCAATTAAACACAATACAACGCCAAAATGTGATGTACCGGTGCAATCTGGAAACTTTCCCCCGGTGATATAAATTAAAAGCGTGTTATTAGGTACCGTAAGGGGCCTGCGCAGAGGCACACACATCCCTCTCCAGCGAGTTCATCAGCAGGTGCAGCTCCTGAAGCACGACACAAAACAGCTGCGCACAGCTTCAGCGTTACACTCACCTGTCATGAACACAAGCTCTTCTTCATCACGTTCTTATCAACGCACTGGGATTAAGCGGTGGCTCTCAGACCCCTCCTTCGGCACACAGAGCGGATTACACGGCAGTAAATACCCTCCCTGCCCCCAAACCATCCCGCAACGCATCACTCCATCTGTCTTGTGCTTTAGAGTCAGTGACACTCCCTTTGCACATATTAATACGTTCAGAGGTTATTTTCTCTGTAAGAGCTCCAGACTCAGAATGTAATCTTGGGATGTGCGCACTGTTCATCACACTGAGAGACAAACTCAATTAAACCAAGTCAGACTATATTCGGTTGGTCGCTTCGTTTTTATTTCAGTCGCGTCGCGCTGGGTAGCCCCGCCCACAGTGAAAGCTTATTGGTCCAATATGTAAATATCAGTGCTGTCAAACGATTAATCGCGATTAATCGCATCCAAAATAAAAGGTTTTTTTACATAATATATGTGTGTGTACTGTGTATATTTATTATGTATCTATAAATACACACACATACAGCATTATTTTGAAAATATTTACATGTATTTATTTATATAATAATATATAAATATATATTTAATACATAAACTTGACATTATTTTTCTTGTGCTCCAGGGTCACATATATTATGTAATCAAAAACTTTTATTTTGGATGCGATTAATCGCGATTAATCGTTTGACAGCACTAATAAATATGTGAATATGTAAAACACACGATTATTTATAAATTGAGTAAAGAAAAAATTTCAGTTTATATAAAGTATCTAAATATAAATGTATATTAAACCAATAAATTCATATACGTATATTTATTTTTAATGATGTTTTATTCAAAAATGTAGTCTATCGCTTTGCATAATGATTTAAATAAACCTAGGCATCTATATATATGCCCATGTATGCTATTCTGGGAAAGCCTATAAATAATGCCTAAATGTCAGAAAGCAGCAGTATTGAGACCCTTTGGGAACATGCACATCCTTAAATCAATACATGTTTGATAACAATATTATAACAATAATAATAATAATTCTAAATATTTGTTTTCTGTATTTATTCCGTATTTATTTTCTGTCACACAAAGGCTCGTTCTTGTTTTTGTTTAGTATATGGGTTACACTTTATTTCGATAGTCCACTTTAGACATTCTATTAACTACAAGTAACTTTGTAACTACATGTCAACTACATGTCAACTAATTCTCATTAATTTGCAACTACTTGTCTACTAACTCTCAGAGTAGACTGTTAGGGTAGGTTTAGGGTTTGTAGAATAAGTTGACAAAGAAAGTGTTAGAAGATATTAAGCAGACCGTCTACTAATACTCTACTAACTGCTAGTTGACATGTAGTTGCAAAGTTACTTACTGTTAATAGAATGTCTAAAGTGGACTATCGAAATAAAGTGCTACCAGTATATTTTGTATATATCTTTTTAAAAATAGCTTACTCTCTGATATTTTTCTTCAGATATAGTTGCTTTTATAGCCATACTAGCTTCACATGAAGATATGGTTTGCATGAGGAACACAGATAAGTTTGGTTTTCTTTATCATTTACAGTATTTACTTTATTTGACCACAAGTTCAACTCGCACTATTAAAAACACCTGCCTGTTAGCCACGACAGGTCTTGTCACGCTAAAGAGCGTACATTTGCTCAGGTATTTGCTCAAGTATAATGTATCAATAATGTGTATGCAAAGGGAGGAACACAAAACCGGACCTAATTTGAAACAAATGTCAATTCTGAAATCAGCGATTGCGTATTCAGTTTAGTTCCCGGGACTCCCCTGGGGAACTACTTCTTCATGTGGTCAAGAATCCAGCCCTTCCCAATGAGTTTCAGACCCAGCATCAGCCTCCTCTGGCCCAGTGTCACATTCTACACGCATTACATATTGATATCATCTTACCAAACATTGTCCGTTGACCACATTGTGTGACTTCAGCCTGTAATCATTTATGATAGCACATAACATTCAACGGTGTGACTTCATCCCCTAATTGTTTAAGAGTGTGTGCATGATATTTCGAACAACCTAGTATGAGAGCCTGTTCTAGTACACCCCCAAAACAAAATCAAGTCTTTGTAAAAGAGCATGAGAGGACCCCTTTAAGGCATTCTTTTTCTTCTTCAACAAAAAGTAATGACGTATTTCCCTGTGAAATATGTAGAAATCTGGAAGAATTTTCAGGAATCTGTTCTTATGCAAAAAGAACTTCCCAACAAGAACAGTTGTTAACATCAAGAGAAATTAGACATCTACATTAAGTTTTCCTTTGCTTTTGGTGCAATTGGAAATTTCTAATATTTTGTTCTTAAAATTTTAACTTCATCCTTAGAAAAATATTGAAAGATTGAAGTTTCATTTGAAGAAAAAGGATATAATTCCTTTACGAAGACTTCCCGGATTACAATATTGGGTAAATTTAGGTTAGTAAGAGAAACTCCGTTCACCAAAAGCTGAGGAAGACAAGGTGTTAAATACTTTGAGAAAAGTTTGAAGACATATAGATTGTGGGATAGCTTTGATGATGTTATTATACTGTTTTCTGTCAAATAAATCAAATTTGGAACAAAAAGTTTCAAAAGACATAGCTCCGGTATTATCTAATATTTGCATCACAGACCATATTCCTTTCTCCCAACAATATTTGTAGAATAGGGATTTGTTCCTAAATACACCATATCTACAATTCCTTCCACAGGGGAAGTCGTGGCCTAATGGTTAGAGAGTTGGACTCATAACCCAAAGGTTGTGGGTTCGAGTCTCGTACCGGCAGGGATTGTAGGTGGGGGAAGTGAATGTACAGCGCTCTCTCCCACCTTCAATACCACGACTGAGGTGCCCTTGAGCAAGGCACCGAACCCCAACTGCTCCCCGGGCGCCGCAGCATATATGGCTGCCCACTGCTCCGGGTGAGAAAAGTTTGAAGACATATAGATTGTGGGATAGCTTTGATGATGTTATTATACTGTTTTCTGTCAAATAAATCAAATTTGGAACAAAAAGTTTCAAAAGACATAGCTCCGGTATTATCTAATATTTGCATCACAGACCATATTCCTTTCTCCCAACAATATTTGTAGAATAGGGATTTGTTCCTAAATACACCATATCTACAATTCCTTCCACAGGGGAAGTCGTGGCCTAATGGTTAGAGAGTTGGACTCATAACCCAAAGGTTGTGGGTTCGAGTCTCGTACCGGCAGGGATTGTAGGTGGGGGAAGTGAATGTACAGCGCTCTCTCCCACCTTCAATACCACGACTGAGGTGCCCTTGAGCAAGGCACCGAACCCCAACTGCTCCCCGGGCGCCGCAGCATATATGGCTGCCCACTGCTCCGGGTGTGTGTTCACGGTTTGTGTGTGTGTTCACTGCTGTGTGAGTGCACTTTGGATGGGTAAATGCAGAGCACTAATTCCGAGTATGGGTCACCATACTTGGCCACATGTCACGTCACTTCACTTCATAAAGGGACATTATGGGGACTGACATTATGCTTATAGATCATTTCCCAGTAAAGTAAAACTGTTGATGAAACACTGATAACCTAATTTTGTAGAATAGGGATTTGTTCCTAAATACACCATATCTACAATTCCATAAAGGGACATTATGGGGACTGACATTATGCTTATAGATAATTTCCCAGTAAAGTAAAACTGTTGATGAAACACTGATAACCTAACAGGGAGTTTTTAAAGGTCATAATCACATCTAAGAAAAAAAATGTATACCTCCTAATTTCATAAATATTTGGCTGGGGATATGAAACCAAAAACTATTTTCATTTTCAAAAAGGGTCTTAGCCAATGTGTTTTAATACAGTATTCAATGTCAAGGGCTTTTAGTCCTCCTTCTTCATATTCTTTGACCAACATTCATTTTCTAATGTAGTGTGTTTTTCTTTTCCAGATATAATTCAAGTTAGCTTGGTTTATAGCTTTTATTGCATTTAACATGGCGAATACTTTGACAATCAGACTTTATACATATACACTTAGGACTTTGCCTGCAATATACATAATTAAAATAATTTTACAGAAAACTATTATGAGTACAGTTTTTAAGCTCATGAAGTGTACACAATTCAAATCACAAAAACACAATTTATTACTTAATGTGAAAATACTACTAGAAATAATGCTGCCAAAAAAAGTGAGTGGCTATGTTATAATAGGCTTTATCAATTCTGGTGTCAAAGTTGACAGAATATCTATGTCTCATAGGAACTTAAGTAAAACGCAGATGTGCTCACATCACCAACAAATGTTTCAGAACCAGAACACACAGTTCTTACTGGATCCTTGCCTGAATAAAGCGAGACACAAGATATATTTTGCTGCTCCAGATGACACAGTGCCATAGAGTCACAACCCTCTGTCTGATTTCAAGACGTTACACAAATTTGAAGAGAGAAAACAAAGATCTGCTTCATATGGATCTGATCTAAATATCCAGCTCATGAAAGTGATATTGATGCTATGGATTAGCGATATGAGAGTGTGTTTAGCGGTGAAGTGGTAAGGGACGGTAACCTCTGAATCTGGTCAGCATTACTGAAACCCTCTCCTAATTCCCTCCCTTTTTCTTCTCCAGCAGCCCAGACAGAAGGATCACATCTGAGCTTCGGTTATACGCTGCCAGCTTGAAAGAAGAACAAGATGAGAGAATGAAGTCTAGATCTCTAGTTCCAGTGCTAAACCAGGTCTAATTTGATTGATTGGTTGCAGGACAAAACGTAGAAGAGAAGATGCTTCCTTTCTATCTTCTGAGCTTGATTGGTGAGGACTCATTGCAGTTAAGTTGTCTGTGTAGATCATTGCATATGCATAAGTGTGTGTTTCTGCTCTTTTCTCTCAGTGACAGCTAAAGCAGAGCTTCTGCCAGGCTCCTGCAGCTTTCAGGACAGCATATGTGACTATATGTCTGACCCCGACTTTCTCAGCTGGACCCTCGACCCTTCCGGTGAGTTCCAGCAGCCTGTCAATGAATGCATTGCTTTTGAATCATTTGATGCCAAGGTCACCATTAAATGAGTGGATGTCAGAAAACAGATTTTATTCAATTAATAGGAAGAAAAAAACAACAACATAAAAATGCAATTTTAATGCACATCTTCTGTAATGAATATGGTTTTAATTCAATTTTGCTTCAGTATATTTTTGGGTGGCATAAAGTCAAAAATGTTATCATAGTGCATCTGTCCTGATATCATAATGAAGATGGTATTGAGTAGTTTAGCATCATTTTTTTATTATTATTTCTCAGGAAATA